CATCTTGATAGTCTTATGTCAAGGGAAAGAAGTCTTGTCTTGTTATGTGCTACATCAAATATTTAAAAGTTTTCTAATAGTTAGACTTTCTTGGTATTTTATTTAAAACAAAAAACCCCCCTCAATCCTTTTTATTGTTTTACCATCTTACCTTAGATGCTGAAGTAATACCCCAAATTGAATGTTTTTAACCCACTGAGATGTGGTTTGAGGAAAATGGCTAAGAAGTAGGAATGGGAAATATGAATCATGTTACAGTATTGTTCCAACTTGAAAAACCAATCTGACTGTTTGCAAAGAGCATCTAAGCTACTTTTAAAACTACTTTCAATGGTTTTCTGCTCCTCACAGTGAGGTTTTAACTTGATGGACCATTATGTATTACGCAAGATAAAACAACTTATTCTGGCATCATTGAAGATTCCAGTGCTCTTTGATTTCTGTCCTCTTGAAGTTTTTTGGTGTTTAACTCAAACATTTTATCGGGTCTCTGCATGGGACCTAAACCAAATTCATCCCTTTGATTTCTGTGCGGATGGGGCTGGAACAGGGTTTCCAGATCTGCCAAATATGCTCAGTGTTTAATTCTTATTTCAGAAAATCATGCATCAAAGGTATTTGCCTATAATATTCTTTCTCCTAACAAGCCAGTAGAGAAAGGGTGGTAGGCTGCTGCTGCTAATTGTATAGAGCCTGTGGTAAGGTTACTGTTCTAGCTGGGAGGTAGGGAGAAAGCATTAACAGCCAAAGCTGTGGAGCCAACCCTCTTCAACGTGCACATATTTGTCATAATGTTGTCCCCAACAGACGGTGTGAGTTCGTGCCCGGTGTGCTCTTGCCAATGAACACACAGGGGTGGAGGATTCAACTTAATCTTTATTGTTTCAAGTCTGCGCAGAGAGGGGTGCTTGGCAATCGTTTGCAAAGCAAGCACACCAGTTACTACCTTTGGGTACCTTTTATACATATGTTCGCAAGTGTATCGCTCGGTGATTGGTTACAAACCACTGACATAAGACGTTCTCTACTGAGCATGTCTCTATACCTATGTTTTAGCCATGTATTTCATTTGCATACATGTATGTTTCATTAACATACTTTGTTCTGCCCAGAGGGTGTGATTTTTAGCATTATAATGAGACCTTTTTCTGAACTTCTTGCTATCTTGTAGGTGTCAGAGACACATTTTCCTGCTGGTGCCAGGGAGGCATTCTAGGAATCTTCCGTATCCCACACACTGTGCTCTGCAAGCATCTCTCAATACACACATACCACACCCTTCCCAGCACCAGCAAGTTGCTTTAAGTGTTCAGTTAGATATAGTTTGCAAAAGCTAGATATACCATAAAAAAGATTACATAAAAAGATTACATCAAATCCCCCCTTCGAGGCTATGACCCTATGAAATGGGACCATAGTCCTCAATCATTCCTTTTAGCCTTAAAAACCGTTTTGCGTCTTCTCGATTCTTCTGGATCGGATCCATGACTGAAGGTTTCATGAACATCACTTGGTTGACATGGGTAGGTATCAACTTTTTGAGTGAGCCATAGCACATAGGTACACACTACACCCCACAACAAATCATTAAGAAAATACATATACGTGCTACAATTAAAAGGAACATCTGCTTCAACCATGAAAAATTAGGAAGCCAAGAAGTGAGCCACGAAAAATCAAATCCATCATCTTGTTTGATATGTGACAGAATGTCCTGTAACTTCCGTACCTTTGACTCTATTAGCTCAGAATTATCTGGCAAATTGAAACAACACATCCCATCGAACTCTTCTCACCCATGCTTATGTCTCAGTAACAGGTAGTCTATGGCTGCCCTATTCTGCAACGTAGCCCCCCGCAGCAGTTCTTTCGTCTCGGTGCTGAGGGCAGCTAAGGCCTGTGAGGTCGTGTTCAGGCTCTTTGCTAAGGCGCAGGCCACTTTACTTATCTGACCATGGTTGGCTACCGCTAGGGCTGGTAAACCTACTATAGAAACTGCCAAAGACACTGCCTCAGCCTTACTGAGGAGGTTTATGTTACTATCACAGGACTCATCTAGCTGGCTAGAACTCCTTCGGTGGCACCTGTCGGAGGCCTTAGACACCTTTGGTAACCAGACAGTTAACCTGCCAATAGTACAGGGTCCCCCCGTGGCATTAGCTGGGATGTACGAATAAGCGGTTTTCCCACAAAGGAGAAACCATCCTAAGGGTAGTATGACATTACCATTACCATAAGACACGTTGGTTTTGTTTGAGCAATTGAAA